TGTTTTCATTAACATTTCACCAAGAAATATATACAGTTAATACGAAATGACTAAAGAAACCAACATAAATATGACGTCGAAGAGAATTTGAATTATTTTATTTCAGATGAGGTTCTATACCTGTGTCTTGCCTCTAGATTTCCTCAAAAGAGTGGCTCTTTTTGAAAAAGATAAGAAAAACATAGTTCGAAAATAAAATAAAATCGACTGAGAGCCAATATTACTGGTAAATTAATTATAAAATCCTATAAATGACGAACTAGAAAGAAAATTGATGAACAGTGTGAATGTGTATATTGATGTACGGAAGGACCACATCCATATTTCTCGACAGAACTGGTCGAATCTGAGATTTGTTCTCATAAAAAGATTATAATCTATAACACCAAACTCTCACTTATTCAGAACTTTCGTCCTAATTGAATAGATTGTATTCGAATATCTTTTCAAGAGCTTTTCCTCGGCTTATGTATTCAGATGATCATAAATGATAATCTACGCGTATTATTTAATATTTATGTTTTTCTTGTTGTTTTATTTCGGCTCATTCTTAAAGAATGTGCGCGTGTATGTAATAAAATAAATCAAAGAATGGATGGATGAATCGCATTGTATCTTTTCCTGCTGACATCCACACTCTAGTCAAAAGGTGTTCTTTATAAGATTAAGAATATTTTTCTTGATTTCTTAGAAAATCTATTTTAATCCGTGAGAAAACAGAACTAAAAAAATTCAGTTTATTATTCGGTAGATCGCTGAGGTACTTTTCGATTTTTACAACCAATTCGGTATCTAGGACCGGTTCTGATAATAGTTGAGTTTGTTCGTAGTGAATCTGATGTGACAATACTCCATTTATGGTCCAAGTCAATATTTGAATCATAAACTACAAAATGGTGTTCAACTTTTAAAGGCGTAAAATCATTTTCTGTCAAATATTCAACAATATAATCATTTGTAATAAATGCATTTCTTTTACCAACATTAAATAATCGCATTGTGACAGTATAATATATTTTATTAATTGATGGTTTTTCAAATGTATTATATGCTAAATGAAGATTTTGTTTTCTACATAAGTTTTTTAATTTATCTAATTTATTTGTTGATCCAATGAATATTTTATAATGAAATTCGAAATAATTTGATTTTTTATCCCAAAATAATAATTTATCAATATCATTCTCCGGTACACCATTGTTTGATCCTAATGATTTAATTTTCAATCTTTGGATATCAAAATCATTAAATATATTGTCAATTAATGTATTAATTTGTTCAACTATATCCGAATATGTTCCAACATGATATGAAGATGTTGTTAGTTGTTTAATAGAATCATCATCATCATTTAAATGAATATAAATTGCTTTTAAATTATTTATTTTACAGATATTTAAAAATTTTTCTATATTATGATTGTCAACTGTAATATGAACTTTAAATGTACCATCAATAGTATTTGTTGATACAAGTTCATTGATCATTTTTTTATATTCATCACTTTTTGTTTTAAGATAATCAATAATAAAATCAATATTTTTCATATTATTGATAAATATTTTTTTCAATTGAAATAATACATATGATACACGTTTAAAATCATAAATTGATTTTGTTCGAATTAATTGTTCACCAATATCCAAATATCTAAGACCATGAAATAAATATTTAAGTATTCGATCTTCATCTATAGTTGTCGTATGAATAGCATCACATAAAAGTTGATTAATTGTTGAATTTGAATTTGATTTCAATGGAAAATAATTTGAATCATCTTCATCATTATCAATTATATATTTTAAACTAGAATAATTTTCATAGAATACAACTTGTTTTAATCGTAATGGATTATAATATTTTGTTAAATAAATTGTTTTATCATCAATATTATTTCTTAAAATAAATTCATTTGGATAAAATATACATTCTACTGCCAGCATATAATTTTTTTCTAATAATAATTCAAAATTTTCACATGTATGAATTGTTATATCACAATTGTTTGATCGATGTAATTTAAATGAATGAAAATAATCAAAATCTTTTTGAAATTTTAAATATGTTCGTTGAGTTTCATTTTCAATTTTCATTATAAAGAGAAAATCCCGATCAGATTTTTCATGATTTGTACCATAAACCCATGAACCGTAATTATAAATATTTGTTATCTGACTATCATTTAATTTAAATTCATTTATAATAGATGAGACAATTGTATTCATAGATAATTTTAGCTAAATATCCTGTGTAAGTCCGATGACAAATAAGTTTTGAAATATTTTTATATTCTATTTATATAGTTGACATATTGCATTAGTATTTCTTCAACTAAACTTGCGGAACAAGTATAAATTATCATATAAGATAAATAGATGATGCAATAGTAACATGGCAAGAAATTAAGAAATAAAATAATATCTTTTCTTGTTCTTCTCAATGACTAAATTATATGTGATGTTCCATTCGAGAATCGTCTGAGACGGTTGGCTTGCGAGATTTGCGAAAGTTTTTTAGAGGATGCACATGATTCGTTGCTTCAATTTACGAAGAAAGTAGACGATGAGTAATCAACAAATCTCACATTCTGTCAACGTTTGCTTTTCTTCCATACAAAAAAAAACAGCGTGTAGTCAATACTCAGGTGAAGTGATGTTGAATCAATAGTTGCTATTGACGATGCTACTGCATTTTAGTCACTATTAAGAGAGAAGACTTCATAACATTGCTACCTAATCAAATAAAATTTCTTAAAAAACACGTTCTAATTTCGTTAAAACATTGATGTGACAAATTTTTTTGCATATTTAATCATTCTAGAAATGCTTGAGCACCTTTGAATCCATTAAATTTTCCTAGACTCATGTATTTTTGGTTCCATATGCATGACAAAATTTGCGAGTTTTACCACGTTCAAGGATAGAGAAGAGTATTCAGACAGTAAGAACAGTTAATATAACATATTTTTGCGTTTATTTTCTTCAAAACATTGCAATTCATTCAATAATAATTCGCTAAATCCTATTCTTCTAATTAAATCAGCAT